ACTCAGAATCGATCACGATGGCGTAGGTGTATACGCTCTCTATCTTCCTTTAAACTAGGCGATTAAAATTGCTTCATAACTCTCTTTCTACCAACTAATTCTTCCTTCCTGTACTATGTCGTTATGTGCAATCTTTCTTTTACCACCACTGAATTAACTGTTTCTATAAATTTTGTGTTCATCTTGTTGTGCGAATGAGGTGTGGCAACGTGGACCAATACATATATGTGCCTGGTTCTATGTTGTAGCTGACTGACTGACTCACATCTACTCCGCAAAACGATCTTATCTAAGTCGTGAAATCAATGTGACAGACAAAAAGATGTAGCAAACAAAATAAGGAATAAGATATAATACTAAATAAAAATATCCATAGGCTACTATTCTATATGCATCCAAATAGAATTTGTTTTTACCTCCAAGCCTTTTAACTAGCAAACTAGTAATGAACCATAAATAAAATTTTCCTATTTCCCAAATGGTTAGTTAACTAAATCTGATTTTAATAATGCGAAAATTCCCATTTACAAATTTAGGAAAAAAATGAATAGCCTAGAAAAATCTGTATTTTTCATATGAAAAAAAATATCTTTTTTTCTCCCCTTTATTTATTTTTCCCAAATTACTTGATTCAAGCTACGAGATTGAAAAGCGTTAAAGTTATTTTTTAACTAAAACTTATATTTTCATCTTATAGACCCATTACATTATTGACATGTATAAAAGTGTCTTTGTTCCAAATATCTTTTCCATTTTGACTATATTATGTCCTACATAAGATACAAATTAAGAATTCCTTTTATGGTCTACCAATAAGGTATTTGTATAAGTTATTTTCACTTTTTTTGAAAAAAATCATAACATTTCACCGACAACATATCCTCACTGACTAGACTATATATGATGCGAACTTTCTCGGTATCGAGATGAGCAATTAGAAATGTTAATGATTCTAAAGAAAGAAAAATAAAAAGTTTTTTTTGTTTGCTTAATTCACTGTCCCTTTTTAATGACAAAACATTCAGTCGTACAATCGAAACTTACAAATAACTTATAGAAAACTAATGGGAATAACTTTTTCTTTTTAAAAAAAACTTTCCTTTTACAGTAAGGTAGTTTATCATGTATTATGTAATACACATTAAAACTAACATTGGTGCTAACAATTAAACACTGAAACATTTAATGTATTTAAACACAAAATATACGTGAAAAGTAAAATGAAATTTTGATAAAGTATTTCGAAAGACTATCGTTCATCTACCTTTAAACGATTAATAATATAATGGATTGTCTGATGATGAGATATGAAAATGGAGTATTGTGTGTATATTTTCATAGTGAATATATAAATGAATTAGATGATTGTTAATATTAAACTATTAAAAGTAGTGAGTAGTAAATAAGTTTTATTATAAGTCGAATTTATACTCTTATTTACAATTTTATTAACGGATTTTTGAAATATGCTTTGGTTACCTAGTTGAATTGATTAGTTTTATACTAGAGGTAATCATATTAATGGCAAAAGAATGACAATACAATAAGACTACAGAGTGTTAATAATATTGCTACTATAATTTTGAAGCAAGGAATAATGGAATCAAGGAGTAACCAAACACATTCATAGTTAAACAGTTTGTCACCTATTTTCATTTTTATGTTTAAATCGGTTAAATAACGAAAATAAAATATTCATAAACTATTAGTACATCTCAAATCTTTGTTAAGGTGTGGAGTTTCATCATCATTAATCTTAGATTGTGAGCCTGAATTGATCGGTATTATATAAAAGTATTTCGACTACTGAGTATCAATTTAGAATTCAAATTAGTCTTTCTTCTCAGTACTCACTAATTAGAGCCTACCAATATTTTAATTTTTGATTCATTCAGGGGTATCAGTCAACAAAATGTATTTCTGGTTTAGTCGTCACTAGGTATTTCAAAACATGATAAACCAGTTATTTAGTACTACATGGTGCTTAATGGTCCTCCAGTTGATCTTTGACAGTGAAACTGCCTTCACACTGTAAACCATTTCTTTATACTGATTTTCTTCAGCATGAAATATGACACCATTTAAAGTGCTACTAGCAAATCAAATTCGACTACGAATAATTTTTTGTGGTAGAATTCTAACTGAAATTTATGTCGGTGTTATTATCATCACTAATTCCATAAATTACTAAAAACCTACAAGACGACAGTTATCTAAGTTCCTGTTTAAAACACAATCTCTAGATATGTAAATTTCAGTTAACACACATGCACTAATTTAATACTACATTGGATCAACCTAATAATGAGCGAAAAGCATTTTGACATATACAATATTTTATTGAGTTCACGAACCGACCTAATTTAGACAGCTGTTCGAAAGCATAAAGTACTAGACTACTATTTCATCCTACAGTTTCGTCCAAAGTGAAGGGCCTAATACCAAGACGAAACACATACTCAGTACTTCTTTTTTTCCATAGTAGCCTAACTTAAGCCGACCTGTTAGTGCAGTAAGAAATAATAACTTTCACAAACCTCTATATTGATGCACTAAGTTAGCCGATTCATTGAAGAGTAGAACCTTATATCTTAGATTACACCCGGCGTTGCGAATTTTGGATCCATTTCAAACGATGATGAGGACATAACTGATTATTTTAATATTGTTTACTTGAAATAGATACTATAAGAACATGTCATTTAAATATTATTATGGTTAATTTATTTGAACTTTATTTCATATCATGGCTAAATTATCTTAAGTGATTATAGACTATAACTTGGATGTGGTATACGTCATGAACTGAAATGTGATGCAAAGCCATTGAAAACTTAAGGAAGATGATGTTGTTTTATTATACAAATCGCTTTCGGAATGAACGAAAATCTCATAAAAAACTACTTTATTGAAAAGAAAATTTATGAAATATTGTCCACTGAACTTAGACTATTCAACTCTAATTATTAAGTCTATAATACGAAACGTTTGTGTAAGTGATTTGACGTTATTTAGCACGAAGTTATGACAGTTTAAGCAGTTCGAGACGATTGCTTGTTAAACAAAACAGGGTATTGTTGAAGCACTTAAAGTATATCTTCATGGCAAAGTACAAATTTCAAATTAAATAAACTAATATTAATTGCAATTTGATGAACCGATTTCCGTAACTTTGTTAGATTACTGAGTTTATAGGTTAAGTAAATTTGATATTTTGTAAGTGTCAAACTCTTCAAATAATCTATACACAGAGCTTAAGAATCTTCGGTGAATGTTGTGAACAAAATCCCCGTTAACATGTCAGATGAAAATAGTGTGTTCTATATGTGTTTTTGATCAATAAATGATTTAAGATGACTCCCTTGTTATTTAATTGTTATATCCACCAATTTTCATTTCTGATTTAGCAACTTATCAAATATTTTAATGAGAACTACAAACGATCGTCTATTTTCAGAAAAAATTTAATCGATAACTCTGTTCCAATAATTTTGTGTATCATGAGATAGATCAATACGATGTCAGAATTGTTTCTTCTTCCAAGTACTTTATGTTTTAAAAAACGTGTGTTTTAGATGTTGCTTCTAGACGAAATAATTCTAAAGATTTGACTGGGAAGTATGGATATACAGTATTTCAGATATCAAACTAATCAAATTACTAGCCAATTTTTTGAAAACAAGTAGTGGAAATATGAACAGAGGATAAGTTTTAAAAACCATTAATTCAGCTATATTGTTAAAAGAAAACCCCTTAAATATTATAAAGAAATGTAAATATAGAAATAATTACGTAAAATGTGAATTACTATAAATTATTAGACAAATTAACGAATTTGAAAATCTGTGACGAATCATGAATGTCAAAGATATTAATGATGTGAAATCTAATGTATGCAATGTTTACTGATCATATTATGACAAAATAGTTTGACTTATTTATTACGCCTTATATACATATTTATTTCATAACCAGGACGTTTAACTTCTGTAGAATCTTTCAAAGGGTTTAAACAGTATTCACAAGTAATGTTGAAGAAATTATTAAAGTGAGGTAGAAATGTAACAGAAATGTAACAAAGCAGATCTAATCACCGTCTTTTCAATAAATGAGTTAAAATCTAGTAGTCTATTGTATCGGTCAGTTTGTAACGTAGTTTAATCGTCTTCCTGAGTAGAAGAATGGTACTTGTCCTAAAAACTGATTTCATCATTTGAAATCAACTATAAAGTCGGACTAATATCACTTGACGAATGGTCGAAAATCACTAGAATGTTGTTTTGTTCTTTTCTGAGACTCTAAATCATGAACTTCTTTTCATACTCCAGAACTAAAGTATCTGAGTTTTACACAGTGAATTAGAATTCAGTGATTTGTGAATCAATAAATTTCAGTGAAGTAGCATTAAAGTTCTCCATTATAATACAACTGTAAAAACACGATGCCTTGTCAATCAAATAAACATTAACCAAAGTACTATTAACATTATTTTAAGTCGCATATTAGTATACCTCGTGATCTTTTCCATTTACATAACTGAACTAGTTCCAAAACATACCAAAACTTAGACAAAATGATTTTTGTTGACTGAAATATAACTGATTCTCACTATATACAGAGATGACGATTGTAGTTGAAAAAAACAGTAAAGGCTGTGAAATGCCAAATCACCAGGTTAAAAGCTTCAGTAAGTCAGACTTTTTTGTTTAACATTCAATCATGAATTCCGTACAGATAGTTTAATCTACAAATAAAGGTCAATTTAGTCTCTATTTAATTACTGGTTTTGATTATGTTTGAAAATATTTGCAACTTAGAAAGCGAAACTCAAAATTTCATAAATTAATTTTATACTTTAACAATTATCGATCGGTTTACGCTCTTGGATTATACTTTACGCGATGGACATGGCGATTAATTACTCAACCGTTTTACAATATAATTTATACTACTTTTATAAAAAGAGCATTATAAGAATCCAATTACTTTTAAAAACTTACGTTTACACTCATTAGCTGATTCAGAAGTACCTCTTGCCCACGGTCTATCTAAATAACCAGGTGAACAACGTTCACAATCAGTTCCTTCTGTATTATGCTGGCAATCACATCGAAGGGGACCCCACTGAGATTTCGTCTGACCATTATTATCTGTTGTTATTGCTGTACCAACTATTCGATCTCTGACACAACGGTTAGCGTGTCCATTACACTTACACCGACCACCGATAGATAAATCAGAGAAAGAAAAGTGAACAGGTGTTTTACTTTTAGGTGTTTTTGAATAGTGCATATCAGACTGATATAGATGTTGTGACATATCCAGTGTACCTGCCTCGGACAAGACAGGATTTGTACCATAACCACCAATACCAGGATTGCCACTAACACGAAATACATTTGTTTGTTTTAGTAAACTTGGGTTTAGAAATAGTCCATTTGAATCATATTGAACTTCGTCTCGATATTCCGGAAATCGCATAAGACTTATTCTTAAATCCGTCATAGTCATCCAGTCGATCAGTGCTGAACTCCACGGTTGCATTGATGGTCGTCCAATAGTTGTACTAAATGCGATAACATTCGATGATCGTCCTGAATTATCATGTACATCTTGTGATTTTAAAGCAACGCATAAAACTTCTTGTATGTTTGCTAAAGAGATTTGTGCATTATGCTCATTACTGGTAGGTAAATGAAAAGCTCGATAACAATCAGTTGAGAAATATTGCCATGGTTTCCATGTTACACCAAAATCAGATGACTTATATAAAGCAATTGAATCAGGCAATTGACCACAAGGTTGCAAAGAAATATAGTAAACTTCAAAACGTTTACCTAGTGATAAAGTTAGATTTACTGTATCACCTGGTAAAACAGATCCTGAAATCCAACATGTTTCATTATTCATTTGATGTCTATCAGTTAATAAGTGTGTTCCAAATTTCTCACCTTTACCACATGTTTCACATTTTTCATGTCCCATTACATATCTACATATTTCTTCTGATTGATCAAATTGACCACATGTTGAAGTTGCTTTAATATCAACACTTTCAGCAATATTTGTAAATGGTGGAGAACATTCAATTGCTTGACCTTTATTATAACATACAGATCTTGTCGCTTCATAAATGACTTTAATATTAGAATCTTTTTCTTCAGTATAATGTTTTTGATTTAAATCAGAATGAGGATTTAAATTGTTTGCATGAATACAAATATTACTGAAAGAAAATGTTATCCAACTGATTATCAAAATAGGCAACATGAGTTATTCTCTTGAGTAATATCAATTTCACAAAAGAATTAAAGATTTTTTGTTGTGAATGTATCAATTTTGATTTATATTAACAAATTTTTATATGAATCCTTTCTCTATTGGTAATAATGATGATGATTTGATATAATGGGCATTTTAATGATGGATACAACCAATGATACTTTTTTTTTGTTTATTGCTAGTTAATTATTTCCTTTCTGTATTCAATAAAACAGTGTAAAAGAACAAGCAAACAAATAAACGAAATAAACTAAATAAAATAAAACTAAGAATATTCCCTTAACAAATAAGAACTCATTTACATAAATATAATTTTAAGAAATAAACCAACTTTATCAATATTATTATTCGTCATCAAAATTTAGGTTCTATGTTAACAAAACTGAAATTTGATTGGTTAATCAAATTGGTTAATAAAAATTTCAACACAATAGGGTAAAGAGAAGGGGGATGGGGCTAATTATATCTATGATAGGATAAGATTTATTTAAATAAACGATTGAGGATGAATAAAATTAAATTTAACTCTTAAATGAAAGCACATTTAAAATCAAAATAGTAAATGATTAAATTATATAAATTAATTTAAAATTTATGTATTGAACTTTCATTTAATTGAACAGTATTCTCATTTATATTATTTAAATATATTTAAAGAAATTATTTGATTTCTACTCAACAACAACAACAACCATTTAAAACATTCTGAAAAATGTATAATGTAAAAAAAAAACTGAATTTATTTTAAGAAAAAAATTGTTGCTGTTGTTGTTGAAGCCCCCCCCCCTTCAATAAATGGATAATAACAAAATCTATACTGATAGAAATATATTTGATTTCATGCTGTGAATAACTTGATAATAAGAATAAATTATAAATAAGAACTTTCGTCTAAATTTGTACGAATAGTTTCACAATATTTGGGCACCAAGTTAATGTGAGTCATTAAAGAGGAATAATATATATATTTGTAAAATGAATTAAAATTGATAAATGAAATCATTAAATTATTATATCGGATAACAAGTTTTAAGATTCATAAATAAAAGATATATGTATATATACCGAATTTCTCAAGAAATTTTTGACTGTTTTATTTTGTTACTAATATGTGACTGATTTAGATGTAAAATCTAGCTATAATTTTTAAAAAAAAGGTCAAGTTCAAGTAATTCTATGATCCAGATTTTTATTTGTATGAAAAAGTACGGCTGATCAGAATTTGGAAGAGGAGCTTTTATTGATTTCTAAAAATTTGTAATCGATTTTAAACTTTATACTATATCATTTTATAGTGAATTGAAAGATTGAGAAGTATAGATGAGGTTTTAACAGATTATAATAGTATAATATCATTAGCTGCGGTAATTATCATTGCATTTGCCGATATCTGAAGCTAAATATTATATATACTATTAATAGAAAAGCTGAAGAATCGCAGAATTTTCTCAAATTCATTAAACAAATATGAGATAGTCTTTCTTGAATCTTGGATACCTAGCAAATGTAAACCTCTGACCAGTAGATGGACAGAGTCAATCATAAGATTAAAATGAAAGGCATATGGTTAATATTTCCTTTAAGGAATCTATAATTTCTTTAACCGAACCCCATAGTAAAACAGACACAAACGAGTCAGAAGTCTAGGTATCAAATAAGAATATCATCCAAGATTTTTGATGTTTGTTCAATGAATAATGACCAACAACAACATAAAATTCAAAGACTTCGGACATGAAACAATGATATTTTAATGTTGAAGACCACTATTCAGTGAGTTCAGTCATTTAAGTGGGTTTGTTAATCATCAAAAACTGTAAAAACGTACATTGTATTCTACATTCAACTAGTAGTAGTATAACAATATGTATATCATGAATGCAGACGAAACTAAGTCAAGCTATACTCTGTGATGAACAAAGACATTCGTAATTCTCATCCACTTTACGTAATATCATATGTTATCATTTCTTATTTGCCTAATTATCATACGATATATACATTTATATAGCTTCAGGCAATGAAATTTCTAATAATCAGTAAAACTTTTCGTATCTGAAATTCTTTTTTGCTTTCAAAGCTTTTGTTTACTTACACAACAATTTATTTAGCCTCTGAAAAGCAAAATAATATTTCTAGATTTTGTAATAGTTAAGGATTCATTAACTGCCTACTTAAAATGCAAAAAGGTAGTATGAAATAAATTCTTTTCAAAAGATTTCCCACAATGTTTTTTGTAAATGTTTCGCATACAATTATGCTAAATTTGATTCAGACATAAAAGAGTAAGAAATTACCATATTCATCATCACTCTCTATTAATTAGATTTTCACTCACTCACTCACTCACTCACTCATAGTCTCTTTCTGTCTTTCACTAGTTTCTGAATTCATTTGATGACATCAAACATTCACTTTCTAGAATTATATGTATTCTCAGTTAATATTAATTAATATAAGATGATTTCCTGGAGTTCTAGTGAGAAGCCATGACCAGTGGAGGCCAATCCGTGTCGGGTAGAGACAGACGTTCACCTCTGACAATCGATGAATGGTTCCGCAAGATCGATTGAAGTTAGACATTAACACTGTTGGATGCCGGCTCAACGGTCTAGAAGTTAGATGTTCGTGCGCGAAACCGAAGGTCCTGGGCTCGAGTCTCACATACAGGATTGTGGATGTGCACTGATGAGTGGTCCCATACTGGAATGAGACTGCCGTCCAGTGGTGCTAGGTTTTCAGTGATGGTCAAGCTTAAATGAAATCATGAATTCGACTATTAAAATACTAGTTTTGTCAAAATGTTCGTGTTTAGATTTAGTCTGTAATATACAAACGCAAAGTACCATAATCTTTTTCCGACTACTACATGAATGAGTAATAAACTAATGAATAATTTAGCAAGATCTTTTGTATAATTAGAAGTACAAGCGTTGTATAAAGAAGATTATTTTATACAGTAACTATATGTTAGTTCATATTATTGAATTCATTCATGAAAATACAATTAACGGGTCTTTAAATTGTTCTAAACAGATACGTTTACTTTCTGTTTTTAAGCTTCTAGCATGTGAAGCTTTTCTCATGATAACTTGTTTTTATAAAATGAATTCTCTCGTATAATTGGTGATCAATGAAATAATTTAGGCTTCGAGTCGCCTTTATTGTTAAAATAGTTGTTTTTTTAAATCGTAATCATGGATATTATTCATGCTGGATTTATAGTGCTATCTAAGTGCTTATGGAGATATAAAAATCGACTGAAATTTGGTATATCAAACGCTTTGACAGATAAATTCTGGATACGAAATACGGACGAAATAATGTTCATCTTTATGTAGAACGTAGCTTTGTTTCTGTAAGTGACTAATATTTTCAGATTCGAGGACTACAGTGAAGTTGCCACCTATGATAGCAAAAAGAAATCACATCAGGTAGTTGCCATAACTACGAAATTGACGGTGACAGAAACAGGAACATTTTAAAAATTAGGTTGCAAAATATTTAATGTGAGCATGTAAAATAACCTTAAAAGTAATTACATATACGTAAATCAAACTATTACATTCAGCTATAGTAATTCATTTATCCTTTTGTTTGAAGCATGAAAGAGAAATCCTAGGCGTAGATTAATGCTGAATAAAAATCATGTCAGAACTTTTGATAGGATTATCTTACTTCATATATTTTAGAAGAGAAATGTTTTCAACACCGTGTTCTAATTCGGATGCATAAATAAGAAAATCAGTGACATTTATGATATACATATTAATTGGCTGATGTTCTATCAAATTCAAGCGACATTGGAAACAGAAAACCACGGTGCGGGAGTGGAAGCAATAGTAGGGAAGTACACAAAGATTAAATATGTTAGTAACAGAGTAAATAACGAGAAAAAATCATTCTGTTTATTATTTATAATTAATCAGAGAGTGAATATATCTCTCTATGTACAAGGGTTTCTCTTTATGTCATTTTTACAAATCTTAATGAATAGTAGCTAGCAGTGTAATTCAAAACTCACGTTTCGTCCTTTTTGGGACTCGTCAGCTGGATCCACCTAACACGACTTAGTAGCTAAGTGGGTAAAGCAATGGCTTATGGAGCGAACGCTAATGGCTCCTAGTCCCGGAGTAAACATCAACCCTGGGATGCAGGTACATCTAGTCGTCCAGCCTACAAGTCCGAAATAGGAGGAAACGAGCGTCCTGGATTCCGGTTCTAGCTACCATCCATCTTCGCTTATAATGGTTATGACTTAAGGCAATATCGAGGCGATTCACACAGGATGCACATATACCATAAGAGGCCGATCAGTTGCAGTCCTAAATATCAATAGGAAGATTCAAACAAATAATACAGAATGATCTTAAGGAGAAACACTTAATTACTGATCTTTTACAAATCTTTGATTAGTAACTACATTTGGCAGATTCAACCAAACTATACTTTCGTTTTTTCTATTTCTATGCTGACCAGCTTCTGACATCTCATAAATCACTAGCTTAATGCACTTAATGTTTTCTAGACACAAGTTCAGAAATAAGTTCGTAACCACACTGACAAAATTAATTTCTTTATTTAGCATTCTATCCGAATTATACATTGGTTTTTTTTAAGTCAATGATGTTTGAAATGTGATTTGAAACAATCAAAAAAAGATATCTATAATCGTATGTTTTTATGATACGTTTTATTATACTGCTCTTTTATCCTTTCATTTCTATCTCAACCATTCACTTATGTTAAGATGATTGTTTTCAACAGTAGCATTTGTAAACAAAATTTAATTTTGTTTATAATTAAAGTTTTTCTGTATCCTATGTTACATAAGTCACAATGTCTATCCTACATCTAGGTAAATTTCATCAGCTACTTCTGATCTTTTGTGATTTATATTTATTTCATAGATCAGAGTAATTAACAAATATTATTAATCTTGAAGGACCTTACTGGATTTTCATATATCAAAAGAGTATTTCGTAAAATATAACTGAACAGATAGAGAAAAAAAGAACAGATCTCTTAGAGAATGATTGCCCAGTAAATGAATACTCAAAATATTCAGTAAAAATGATGAAACATTTATATTTCCAGACATCTCAATACCATTTTGAATTATAGAGTGAAGTGGTGGAAAATGTTACAACTTATAAAAACTAAACTTCAAAAGTGTTCATTTAGCTTTATGATAAACTGCGTTTGAAAATTGAATTATGAATGTTGAATCTTCAACATGCTGTTTAAGCGATGTAGAAAATCTTATGCAAAGTCTAGCTTATATTAAAAAGCAACGATTATTCAGAAAGCTAGATATCATCAA